ATAAAACACACACACACACACACACTCACTCACTCACAGCCGGCACAGGGCCCAGACGCACTGACACCTGAGGGAAGGCTAGGCCCTTCTAGTTGAGCCAGAGGGAGATGGCAGAGCTCCTCACAACCCATCTGCTGCTCCTTCCCTGCCTACTCTCCTCCACCAACGGTATGAAAGGCCCATAAGGCCATGCCATCCTGTGGAAAGAAGCACCTTGGGGCACACACAGCCAACTGCTAAATAAGGTTGTACCTGGGGGACCAAATTATACATTTATGACAAGTTCTAGAATGGGCAGAACTAAACTATGGTAGAAACAAAATCAGGAAGCCTGTGGCGGGTGAGGTGAGGAGAAAAAACAGAGGCTTTCACAGAACATACCTGTGTCGGGAGCTCAGCATTTACTGGTGCTGCCCTATGCCAACCGCACTGCCTCTGCCTCCATGTCTACGGGGAGGCAGCTGGAAGGCAGTAGACACTGCTAGAAGGTACAAACAGGCCAGGATCCAGAAGAGCCCCAGGCCCATCCCCCACCCCACCTACCACACCTACAAGCCTGGGACTCCGTTCATCCCATCTCATGGCCTCCTCTCTACTTAACCGAGGTTCCTCCGTGAAGCCTTTCCTGTCCCAACAGGCAGGAGCCTCCCTGTTCACTACTGCAGAGGCTGCACCTCACACTGCACCGTCTGCCCTGTGAGAGGGCAGCCCGCCTGCCGGGAAGGCTCTGAAGGGCTACCTCTACCTCCAGGGACAGAGAAGACAAGGTTCTGGGGGGTAAGCAACTTGCCAAGGTCACAAGAGCAAGTGAGTGGCCGAGTGAGGACTCAGTGTGACTCGAGCGGCAGTCAGGCTTTCCCTAGCCGCAGGGACAGACACAGCACTCCCTTCCCAGGCAGGAGCAGGAGTGCCACACACAGCAGACCTGCCCTCCACGTGCAGCCACGGAGGGTAGTCTTGGTCACCTCCACCCTTACCCCCCGACCCCCCACAGCTTGCCTTTCATAGCAGGGCCTCACCTGGGCTGTGTCCTTCGACTCAGTGTAAGGGCCCATGGATGGCCCAGTAACCCTACCACCTGGGGCAGTGAGGAGTTTCAGGCTAGAAGCCACAGGTAGATTCCATCACTCAGCCTGCTTTGGGGGTGGGGAGCAGGCTGCCCCGGCTGCTCCTCTGGGAACAGCTCTGGCCTCCATGACCTCTCTAGCCAGTCCCTCCAGGCAGGGCTGGTGATGGGTGGGACTCACGGCTCTGGGCAAGCCCAGCCGTGTAATCCAGCCCAGATCTGGATGCCGGCCAGCAGCTCCTGGCTCTTCTCCCAGACCATCGTCCTGGAAAGCAATAAGCTCCACAAATGCCAGGAGACCAGCGCTCCCTCCAACGCAGCTTCTATGACATAAACACTTGGGTTTTACTCAGCGCATTAGTGACGTGGTGATGGGGGCCCCTGGGCTGGCTTTCTTCTCTAACCCTCGGGCCAGTCTTGACACACACCCACTGGCTCACCCTGATCAATGAGGGAGGTGGCGTCCACCCTAGGCTGACCACCCTGAGTCTATCCTGAAATCCTATGGGCCCCACTGAATACCCCAAGCTGCTCATGTGGTCCAAGTCCCACGTGGGCCCCACCCGATCTGTGCCACTCCCATCTGAGATGGGAAAGCTTGTGGGTACCTCCCCACCAGGACAAAGTGCTGCTCTGAGGGGAGATCTGGCAGGAGGCTCCACACCACACCACCCCAGGCCCCATGACCCTCAAATCCCTGCTTCTCCGGAGAGCCTTAGGTCCTCTCCTCCTCCCACAAGCCTACAACCCTCACATCACTCCTGGCTTTGGTGCCAACAAGGAGAAATGAGGCCAAGACGACCTGGGGGATCTGCAGATGGATTTCTCTTCCTGGTGCTGGCACAACTGGCTGGCTAGCACCAGGAAAGGTGAAGGGCAGGGTCCTGCCAGGAGGGCCCCAGGCTTGATACAATCTAGCCAAAAGTTTTGAATGGGCCTAAGACCATGAGTACTACTGGGAAGAGGCAGGTGAGCGCTGCTCAAAGGGGAATAATAATTTAAGATTATAATTATTATTAAAAAGCCATGTTCTCCTCCAGACTCTGTCCCCCACATTGCACTGCCTCCTCAGGGGCCTGAGCTGTTGGTAAGAGGCTTGCTGGCAGTGACAGAAGCAGGAGGCTGGGAGCCGGACAGCCTGTGGGAGGCCGGCAGGGTGGGTCTACCAATAGGACAGCACAGCAGGGGAAATTGGTCATCCTGTCAGTCCAGGAACAAGTGAAAATCCAGGAGCCACTTCAGCAAGAAGGCAGACAGGCCC